GGACCAGGGCAGGGTCTGTGTGGGGGCACCCGGCTGGTGGGGTCTCACTGTCCATCCGTCTGTCTGTCTGCGGGGTGCAGCGCTGCTAAAGCTGAAGGTGGTGGAGGGCGAGGGCGAGGAGGAGGATGACCCTCTGCGGCGCACAGGCCGGCCCTTCGGGGGGCTGATCCGGGACGTGCGGCGGCGGTACCCCAAGTACTTGAGCGACTTCAAGGATGCGCTGAACCCCCAGTGCATTGCGGCTGTCATCTTCATCTACTTCGCCGCGCTGTCACCAGCCATCACCTTTGGAGGGTTGCTGGGTGAGTGCCTGGGGGGGCATGGCACTGCACCGGGGGGCTGGAGCAGTGCACTGCAACGGGGTCACTGCAGGCATGGGTGCTGTCTGCTGCCCCGTGCGTGCACTGCAGGAGGGAGCGGGTAGGAGCTGCTGCCCGGGGCCATCGGCTGTGACGCAGGGGAGGAAGGGCCCCGTCCCGCCGGTGTGTGCCTGAGCCTGTCCTGCCCGCAGGGGAGAAGACGCAGGACCTGATCGGGGTGTCTGAGCTGATCATCTCCACGTCGCTGCAGGGCGTGCTTTTCTGCCTGCTGGGTGCCCAGCCCCTGCTCATCATTGGCTTCTCGGGGCCCCTGCTCGTCTTTGAGGAGGCTTTCTTCACGGTGAGAGCGGGGCGAGCCCCTGTGGGTGGGAACGGGGTGGGTGGACTATCCCAGGTGCTGTGGGGCAGACATCCCCCCTCGGCCCCACTGCTCCTGCCGGAGCCCTCCCTGCCCCACTGCCTGGGGCTCTGCCCCAGCCCCACAGCCTCCCTTCCTGCTGACACATGTCTATCTCTCTGCATCTGTCTGTCTGTCGGCATGGCACCGGCAGTTCTGCACGTCCAACGAGCTGGAGTACCTGGTGGGGCGCGTCTGGATTGGCTTCTGGCTCATTCTCATCGTGCTGGTCATGGTGGCCTTTGAGGGCAGCTTCCTGGTGCGCTTCGTCTCCCGCTTCACCCAGGAGATCTTTGCTTTCCTCATCTCCCTCATCTTCATCTACGAGACCTTCTCCAAGCTGGCCAAGGTGAGCTGGCGGGGCCAGGGCTGGGGCGTCTGAGGGGCAAAGGCAGGCAGGACCGGCCTGAGTGTTGCGCTGCTGCAGATCTTCCAGGAGCACCCCCTGCACGGCTGCCTGCGGGTGAACGGCACGGGCGCAGAGGCAGAGGTGTGGAGGAACGCCAGCGCAGCCCCGGCCAACGGCACGGCCGGCCGCGCCGCAACCAAGGTGACAGGGCAGCCCAACACGGCGCTGCTCTCGCTGGTGCTCATGGCCGGCACCTTCTTCATCGCCTTCTTCCTGCGCAAATTCAAGAACAGCCGATTCTTCCCCGGAAGGGTGCGTGGGGCAGGCGGGACGGCGGCTCGGGCGCTACGTGGGGCCCTGGGGTGAGCCCAGCTTTGGGGGCAGGGCTGAGCTGGG